CATGATTTTATTCTCTTTTGTTGCTGAGTAATATTCGTGTGTGTGTGTGTGTGTGTGTGTGTGTGTGTGTGTATGCCACATTTGTTTTATCCATTCATCTACTGAAGGGCATCTAGGTTGGTCCCACAAATTAGCTATTGTGAATTGTGCTGCTAAAAACATTGATGTGGCTGTGTCCCTGTAGTATGCTGTTTTTAAATCCTTTGGGTATAGTCCTAGAATAGCTGGGTCAAATGGTGGTTCCATTCCCAATTTTCTAAGAAATCTCCATACTGCTTTCCATATTGGCTGCACCAATTGGCAGTCCCACCAGCAATGTAGGAGTGTGCCTTTTCCCCACATCCTCACCAACAATTATTGTTGTTGGTATGCATAATAGCTGCCATTCTGACTGGAGTGAGATGAAATCTTAGAGTGGTTTTGATTTGCATTTCTCTAATTGCTTGTGATGATGAACATTTTTTAATGTGTTTGTTGATTGATTGTACATCATCTTCTGAGAAGTGTCTGTTCATGTCCTTGGCCCATTTATTGATTGGGTTATTTGTTTTTTCAAAAAATTTCAAAAAATTTTTTGCTACCTGTATTTGCTCTCTTATCTCATTGTTGGAGCTTGTATTTGCTCATTTGGATCATTCTTTAATTCACAGATCATTTTAATTATGAACCTTCTGAACTTCTTCTCCAACATTTCATCAACTTTGCTGTCCATGGGTTCTGTTACTATAGAGTTCTGGTTTGTTTGGGGCATTTTCCTCCCTTGTTTTTTCATATTGTCTATGTGTCTTCCTTTCTTGCAGTGTGGATCTGAGAGTTTCTTCCCTATATTCTTGTAGTACTCGTACAGATTGCCTGTACCTCACCTTGATGTTGGGCTTCCAGACCCTGCTGGTGTCCCTCAATAGATACTACTGCATCCTGGATCTGGGACCTGCATCAGTTGGAGTGGGTAGATCTAGGCCACTGTTGTTGACCTTCCATGGTAGTCTGCTGGTCAGAGAAGGCAACCCTGCACAAGAGGCTAGGCTCTGGTGAGTATCTGTCCCGCCGGGAAAGGGGTGGATCCGGCCTGCTGTGTGCCTGAGCCCTGAAGAGGCTGGTATGAGTGTATCTGGGCTGCTGGGCTTTCAACCTGCTTCTTTAACAACCTATTCATTTGACTTCCTGAGTTCTCCATTTTGAGGCTTCTCTTTCCTTGCAATGATGTGTAAGTTATTTCTTGGGGCAACTTCAACTCTGGCTCATATGATGGGCAGCTCTCTAGGTAGTGCCCCCTTAGTCCTTAATTTGGTCCAAAATACTGGGCTAGATGCTGCTTCATCATAGACGAACTGGAGAGCATTCCAGAAAGCACTCTCAGAATGAGAGCTATGAGGTGAAGGGGTCATGTCTTTGGGATCTAATCCAAGCAAAATTAGATGTCATAACCAACACATTTGAATAATATAGAATTTTAAAAACTGAATTATTTTATATATATTAGTTATAGAGGGCACAATATCTTTATTTTGTTTACTTATTTTTATGTGGTGCTAAGGATTGATCCTGGGTCTCACACATGCGAGGAGAGTGCTCTACCGTTGAGACACAACCCCAGCCCTAATAATATGGAATTTTTAAATTAGATTGTTGCTGGGTGCGATGGTGTACACCTATAATCCCAGGGGCTTGGGAGGCTAAAGCATGAGGATGTGACTTCGAAGCTAGTCTCAGAAAATTGGTGAGGCTTTAAGCAACTCAGTGAGACCCTGTCTCTAAATAAAACATTAAAAAAAAAAAAGGGCTGGGGATGTGGCTCAGTGGTCAAGCTCCCTTGGATTCAATCCCTGGTTCCACATACCCCCCCTCCCAAATTTTGTAGATAAAATTAGACTGTTGAAAACAAAATGTAGAATACGGGAGTAGAATATACTACATTAGAAGTTCATAGACATATAGGTTTGGTTTTTTTT